ATGTTTTGACAAAACAGGCAGGTTCCATGTAGAAAAGTGTTGGGAGAATTCAGGACAGAGTGAAAAAGGGCTGATGTGATCGTTTGTATGGCCTGGCCCCTACTCCAGCTTCTCTATCAAGGACAGACCTCTCTGCAGCTCCTTTGCCTTCCCTCTTGCAAGCTGTGGGCATCTTGGAGATGGGAACACCTGGGATCTGATCTCATCTCGGCTGTTACCACCTCGATGAATTCAGTAACTTGGACATGGCTGGGGGGGGGAATGGAAGTCCCTATTCCTGGAAGCCTCCTCTCAACCAGAGCTGCAGGATGCAGTTCAGGTGTTCTCGCTGGAGCTGGGCTCAGCTCTTAAATCTCTTCTCTTCTGAGAAGCTCTTTATCTATTTTTAATCTGTTCCTGTTGCTTGGCAGGGCCCTTTTGATAGGAAGCTGTCGGGTCCGTTTGGAAAGCTAAAGGAATTGCCAGCCACATCCTCCGTGCTGGTGTGCAGAGACCTAAGAGAGGAATAAATCTCAGTCTTGTAGTCTTGGCAGCAAGAGCTACAGCAACAAATCCCAGGCTATGCACGAGTTTATTGGTATTGTCCTGTACCTGTGGACAAGGAGATTTGGGATTTGGGGCATTGCTGCAGCTTTAGCAAAGCTGCTTTTAATTCTTAGGCAGATGACTTCTGAGGATGCCCAGCAGCTGTTCTAACCCACTATGGGGGCAGAGGAGGAGCAGACCTGGGCAACAACATGGGAGGAAAACTTAATAGGTGCAAAAGGGGGATGTGATGGCAGCTCGTCTTCTCTAGTCACAGAATCCTGGAATGGTTTGGGCTGGAAGAGACCTCAAAGCTCCTCCAGCTCCAACCCCTACCACGGGAAGGGACCCCTTCCACTAGAGCAGCTTGCTCCAAGCCCTGTGTCCAACCTGGCCTTGAGCACTGCCAGGGATGGGGCAGCCACAGCTTCTCTGGGCACCCTGTGCCAGCGCCTCAGCACCCTCACAGGGAAGAGCTTCTGCCTCAGAGCTCATCTCAGTCTCCCCTTCGGCAGGTTCAAGCCATTCCCCTTGGCCTGGCCCTACATCCCTTGTCCCAAGCCCCTCTCCAGCTTTCCTGCAGCCCCTTCAGGCACTGGAGCTGCTCTCAGGTGTCCCCTTCAGGAGCCTTCTCTTGTCCAGGCTGCCCCAGCCCAGCTCTCTCAGCCTGGCTCCAGAGCAGAGCTGCTCCAGCCCTCGCAGCATCTCCATGGCCTCCTCTGGCCTCGCTCCAACAGCTCCACGTCCCTCTTGTGCTGCTGCCCCAGAGCCGTTCGCAGGATGAGGGCACCTTTATCGAGGTGTCTTTGTCTTGCAGGCTCCTGCCTTCAGCTCTGACAGAAGGAAAAACCTCTCCACTTGGCTTCAGCCCATCGCTGCTTGGCTCACAGCACGCCAAGAAGCAGCTGCGTGCCTCTGCTGCTCTCTGCTCGCTGTAACTCTTCGTTACGGTGCGAGTGCTGCGTGTTTCCAAGTGTTGGTCTTCTCTTTATTAAATGATGGCTTTATTTGGCCCTCGCCCCGTGTGCCAGAAGTGCTCTAAATGAAGAGCTGGGATTATCCATAACGCAAACGGCTTCGCTCTGCAGCCTGCGCGCAAATGAAATGAAGGCGGCTCAATTGGATGATTGCTCTGAGCAATTGAAACCCAAATCCGTTTTGCTGGGTTTGAGTCTCTCCTTTCCTCCTCTTGGCTGTTTGGGTGTGTGTTTGCAAGTGGGTGCTCAAAGGTCCTGTGTTTTGAAGTCATTAAAAGCCCGTTAGGGGATGTGCATCACCGTGGCTCCTTGTTGTGATGTTGCAGGAGTGCAGGGGAGGATGCAGAGCTTCCTGGCCTTGCTTGCAAGGGAAATTTAGGGGTGGGATTCTTGGCATGGGGGCTCTGTGTGTGTCTTCCCTAAACAGTTTGCACGTCAGCTCCTAGAAGGGGGCTAAAGGATGCTGGAGAGGGGCTCTTCATCAGGGACTGTAGCGATAGGGCAAGGGGTGATGGGTTCACACTGAAACAGAGGGAGTTCAAGTTAGATATCAGGCAGAAGCTCTTCCCTGTGAGGGTGCTGAGGTGCTGGCACAGGGTGCCCAGAGAAGCTGTGGCTGCCCCATCCCTGGCAGTGCTCAAGGCCAGGTTGGACACAGGGGCTTGGAGCAAGCTGCTCTAGTGGAAGGGGTCCCTGCCCGTGGCAGGGTTTGGAACTGGATGATCTTAAGATCCCTTCCAACCCAAACCATTCAATGATTCTATGAGTAGAATTGTTCTGGGCTCTAACGTGCATGGGGTTTGCTCTCTGCTGGCAGCATCCTACCCTGAGTTCCCATGGACAACTCCTGGTTAGTTACAGCTTCCTGCAGACTGCTTTTGTCATACCCAAACCCACCGGTTATAAATAGCCGAGTGGTGCAAGGACAGCCTGGGATTCCCTCCTGAAAAGCATTTCCTAAGGGCGTTTGAGAAGTTGCCAAGCTGTACATGTGCTGGGTGTTAGACGAGTGCTGTGATTTCCAGGCGGGTTCTGCTTTAGTGTGCTCTTAAAAGAGAAGGTGCTTGGGTTCTTTCCAAAGAGAAGCGGTGTTGAGACGCTGTCCTTGGAGATCCTGGCTGCAGTGTGCAGGATGGCAGAGGTACCTGTAGGTGAGTTTGTGTTTTCCATGTAGCCCCATGTCCAGCTCTGGGGTAGCAGCACAAGAGGGACCTGGAGCTGTTGGAGTGAGTCCAGAGGAGGCCATGGAGATGCTGCGAGGGCTGGAGCAGCTCTGCTCTGGAGCCAGGCTGAGAGAGCTGGGCTGGGGCAGCCTGGAGAAGAGAAGGCTCCTGAAGGGGAGACCTGAGAGCAGCTCCAGTGCCTGAAGGGGCTGCAGGAAACCTGGAGAGGGGCTTGGGACAAAGGATGTAGGGACAGGCCAAGGGGAATGGCTTTAACCTGCCCGAGGGGAGACTGAGATGAGCTCTTAGGCAGAAGCTCTTCCCTGTGAGGGTGCTGAGGCGCTGGCACAGGGTGCCCAGAGAAGCTGTGGCTGCCCCATCCCTGGCAGTGCTCAAGGCCAGGTTGGACACAGGGGCTTGGAGCAAGCTGCTCTAGTGGAAGGGGTCCCTGCCCGTGGCAGGGGTTGGAGCTGGAGGAGCTTTGAGGTCCCTTCCAACCCAAACCAGTCTGGGATTCTCTTAGGATTTTAATGGGTCCAAAAAATGAGACTGTGTTTTGCGTAGAATTCGGTGGCCTGCATGGATGGAAGTGGCTTTAAGCCACACATTTGCTGTTCTGGGAATGCAAAGGTAAAACGTGCTCTGGGAATCTTTATGGCTTACAATTGGATTTATATCCCATTGCTGCAAAGGGAAAGCACAGGAAGGGCTGTTGCACACAGCTGGTCACGGGAGGGCACCAGCCAAGGGTCCTGCCAGCACCTCAGTGCCATCCCAGGAGCACGCAGGCTTTGCCTTCTCTCCCTCGGTTCAGGCTGCTGGAGGAAAGGCTTGATTAGATAATTGCATCGTGAGCAGCTCCCACAGCTGTCAGGATGGATAAAGCTCCCCAAGGCAGGAGATAGAAAAGACCTTGGTTATTTCCATGCTTTTCGAAGCTAGGAAAGGCCACTGGGATGGGAAAGGGCTGAAGGGAAGGCGGAAATGGCCGGAGGATGGAGGCAGAGGGGGGCTGGGGTTGATTTATAGGCAGACGCAGTCATCTTTGGATGTTTTGCCCCCCGAGGAAGCGCAGGTGGCGGATATTGCATTGATCGTCGCATCCCTCAGTGCCCCGCTGGGGTTTGGGGCCAGCAAAGCTGCTCTGTCCTTGGCCCCAACCTGCTTTTGTTTCCTTTGTACACGACCGGGTTTGTTTGTATCTTGTTTTCAGTTGGGTTCCTCCCTGCGGCTGCTGCTTTTCCTGCAGCAAAGGGGTCAATTGTGCAATGAGTTCAAGCTGAGGCCGCTGCTGGGACCAAGTCCATCTGGGCCAAAACAGCATTGTAAAGGGAAACAACCGCAGGAGCACCTGATCCAGCCCCATTCAGGATTAGGCAGGGATGCTAAGATTAATGCCAATCACTGTTCTTTTGGGAAAGAGGGGTTTTTTTTGGTCACAGGAGGCATCTCACACAGATCTGCCCTTGCGGCTGCGCAGTGCTGAGTTCAGTGGCTGTGTTTTATCCACCAAGGTTTGATTAGGGCTGACATCAATGACTTGCAGCTCTTATTTATCTCAGTAACTGGAGCTTTTGTCCCACTGGTCATTAATTGCAATTAACACTTGCTGCATCTTTGGCATTCCCCCCCCCAGATAAACCACTGCTAACAGTAGTTTTCTACCTAGAACACACTTTTCTTATCATGGATTTAATCGTTGGCAATATGGCCAGACTGATGTTGTTTGTCCAGAGGCTTGTCAGGATTTGGTGTCTCTTGGTTTAAGCAAGAACAAGGAATTTATAACACCTTTGGAGCTTTTATTATCCCATTAAAGGAGGTGGCTCCTGGTACTGGTGCTATCGATCCACACTGGGTTGCAATGGGAATGCTGGTGGAAAGGCTGCTCAGGTGACTTGTTTTATGTTGGGCATTTCTACCTCCCGTAGTAAATGCTTCTAAAGCTCTATCTGCAAGTTGTTTAGGGCTTGTTTTCCCAGCGGTGTGAGCTCTGTGCTTGCATTGATTGAGTGAGCATCATTGACTGCAGCAGGGATACAGAGCGGTGAAGCTATTGCTAAAGCAGCTGGTGGTGGTTTGGGGTGTAAGAGGGGAAAAAAGCCTTAAAGAAATTGAGTTATATTTTGAGGGTGAAATTCAGTCCTGGCTGGTATTGAAGTGTTAAGGGTAAGGCTGGAAGGTGGCTCCAGCTCTTGCAGCCCCAGCTGCTCTCTGTCTTGTAGGTGTGGAAGGTGCAAGGGTTTGGGGGCAACAGGACTGTTGTCCATGGGTTAAATACTGCTGGTTTTGACCTGATTTCATCACTGCTCCATTATCCTCTGGCACAGACTCTGCAGCCCATGTGAGCCCACCCAATCACCTCTGCGGAAGGAGAATGGAGATGGAGCGCTTCTCTTCCTTCACTCTATAGTAGGAATATAGTAAATTCCTTTGGAGACCTGCTGCTAACAAGAATCTGAATTAAACTTACTGATGCTGCATCTCAAAATGGGTTTAAACCAGCAAATTGGTGCAGTCTTGGGGGGGGGGTTTCCCCCTTTTTCCCCCTTCCTGGGGCTGCAGGAAGGTGACTTCAAGGGAGGATGGCTATTCTTAGCAAGAAGCTATTCAGTCTGAATTTATGCTTGGCCTGGAAATATCTCAGAGCTAGACTGACACAACCAAGGAAGCAGCAACTGAGGGATTAAAAGGATTTATGCATTTACTGTAGAGAAACCGGGGTTGGCTGTTAACTGCACTCAATGCATGGCTGCTGGGCAGCTGCGGGTTCATGTGCTTTCTGCTCTGCTGAGGATGTGTGTGGTAATAACTGGGGCTTTTGGTATCTTCTCCGAGCTTCCCATTTATTTGGGAGGCTGTAAACCTTATATGAGCAGCACTAAATAGGAGTTAAAAGGCGCTGCAAAGCGACATGATCCTTTACTGCTCACTTCTTGTTACTGCTCCGCTGTCTCTGAGCAGGTTTCAGGCTGTGCCCACCAGAAAAAGGAACATTTTGGAGGTGGAATAAATCTTCTCCATTTATTTGACCAGTGGAGATCCTCTTCTCTCCTGATTTGTTGTTCTTTCTGCTCCCACACACAGAGATTTTATGACAGGTTTCTGGCTGTGAATCCCTTCTCCTGCCATGATATCAACTGAGTGGATCCTGCTACTACTTGGTGCAAAGAGGAGCTGTTGGGAGCTGGTATCGCCCCACTTTGGGCTGGCTTTTAACAATGTGTATGGTGAGAAACAGCAGCTTTGGCATCACACCAAGATGGTGAGGTGGTGGCCAGTAGCACCCATTGGTCCATGGCATGCAGAGGTTTGGGGTTTGTGGCTTATTTGACCCAGAAGCATTTCACATTCGTGACTTGTACTATCTTCTTTACAAAGGGTGAGAGGATGAATTCCCACAGATTACCACCAAGGAGGTTCTGTTACTGCCATGGAATTAGATAAACTTGAAGAGGAATTGGGTCGGATGCTGGGGATGGACTCTTTATTAGGGACTGTAGTGACAGGACAAGGGGTAATGGGTTCAAACTTAAACAGTGCAAGTTTAGATTGGATCTAAGGAGGGAATTCTTTCCTGTTAGGGTGGTGAGGCACTGGAATGGGTTGCCCAGGGAGGTTGTGAATGCTCCATCCCTGGCAGTGTTCAAGGCCAGGTTGGACAGAGCCTTGGGTGAGATGGTTTAGTGTGAGGTGTCCCTGCCCATGCAGGGGGGTTGGAACTGGATGATCTTAAGGTCCTTTCCAACCTGAACTATTCTCTGATTCTATGACTCCAAAAGCATCAGAAATGGAATATGTTTGGGAGCATCGCTGTCTGGGGGATATCAGATTTTACTAAGTGAGAAGGAAGCTGAGGGATACTGGGGGACCACTGCGCACCCTGGTCCTTAACTCAAAGAGCATCTTATTGGGATGGAGGACTTCACCCTTTGGAAAGGGGAGATCCCCTCACCATCACAGGGGCAGTCAGACCCTGACACAGCCCTGTCCTGGTTTGAGCTGCAACAGTTCTTTGTCTTGCATTCTGTGATTAGTATGTCATTCACATCTGGTTTTCCCTGCTCTCCATCCTTATGGCTGAATTAATATCATCACTGTTGCATTGAGGACACGAGGCTCAGCTCCAGAACATGGAAAAGACCTAAAAAGTCTTATTTTAAGCTATTGAAGTAGCATTTCTGTTTCTAGGTCTCAATTGTCTGAGAAATTGCTAGACTGGGAGACTTTTGGGTAGAAGGAGGGATTAAAGCAGAGCTGCGTTATTACAGGAACATAAGTGAATTGACTCTGTAATTGCAGTCCATGGGGCTGTGCATCACCTCTGGAGAGCACACTGCTTCCTTGAGAGCCTACAAAGGAAATCCTAGCCCTGAAACTGTGGGTGTGCAGCCCATGAACTGGGGAAATCACTGGGCTCTGCTCAGCCCAACCTCTTGTTACAGCATGTGGGTTTTCAAGAGGGAAAAGGCCCATTTCCATGTTATCTGAGGTGCTCAGCAAGCAAGGACAAGGGAATGCATGGCTCATGACTTTTATGTTTCTCCTACAGGCTCTTACTGTCCCTGCCCATGGCAGGGGGCTTGGAACTAGATGATCTTAAAGACCTTTCCAACCCTAATGATTCTATGATTCTATATAGCATGCTCTACCATCAATGGTGGCTTTGGGCAGCAGGTCCCTGTTGCCAATGCTGGGCAGTAATATTGAGCTGCCTGAATCTTTGATACACTTGGGAGGGTGTTTTTTAGGTACCTAACTTCTTGAAGACTTGAGAATGAGCAGGGCTCCATGGCTAGGCTGAGCAGTGTTTGTCATCAGGGCTGTAAATTGGGCTTTTGTGGTTGGGCAAACCCCAGAAACTATTCTGATGTCTGAGCCAAAGGCTCAGAATTGAGGGGTTTTATTCCATTAGAGGCTTTGGTTTGTCGCTATTCCAATATGATGGAGTGTGTTGGTCCAGGGTTGGTTGTGTGTTGATGGGAAGGAGTTTGGGAAGAGCTGTGTGTCACCTTACAAGCCACAGCCTCAATGGATCTTCCCCAGTTCCAAGGCTATATATAAGCAATTCAAACACACATTGAGTGTCTGAGCAGTAAAATCTCTCTGCAACATCTGCTGTGACTTAGTGCAGAAAGATGCTGCTCTGTGGTGCTGGTTGATGTTGGATCCATCCTCCCTGTCGTAACAGCATGGATGATCCTGCAGCAGAGTCTTTGCTGCAAAAGCCAAGCAAACCACTTGAGGAACGTTTGCTGGGGATGGAATTAGGGCTGGTTGATGGTGGTGGCTCCCAGGTTGAGTGAATCCTAACAAGCTTTGAGACTTCAAGAAGCTTTTGGGTTTTAAAAGAAGAAAATCTGCACAATTCAGGAGGGGAGAATAAACAAAGCAAATACCTGCTCAGAATTACTTGTGGGTGATGAAACCCTTCTTACTCCACTGGAGAAGGGAAGGGGAAGGTTTTCTTTCCCCATGCTTCTGGGTGATTTCTGCAGCCCAACGGCTTTATTATTCAGTGTATTTGGCCAGGTATCTCGTGGCAGTGGATTAAAACAGGGAATAAACCAGGTTGGAAAAGACCTTTAAGGTCACGTCCAACTGTTACTGCAGCACTGCCAAGGCCACCACTAACCCCTGTCATTGAATATCCACAGCAGAGGTTAAACCTCAACACGGGATGAGGAATGGGTATAACGGGAAAAGCACCACACATCCATCCTCATTTCTCAGGTGCTGGTCTGGACCCCACACAGACCACGGGGTCGAGGTGCAGGGGGGTTATTTGTAGGTTTTGATTAATTTTACTGCTGGGGACCCATGAAATGAGTTCATTTGCTGTGAGATAATTACTGAGGCTACTTAATGGAGGGAAATGCAGTGATTCAATGTTTTGGAAAGGGTCTTTGGGGCTGTGGTTTCCCAAGTGGGTTTTACCCAGCGCTGCGGGGTATACAGAAAAAGGAATCAAATCCTTGGTTTTCTGACTTTTATGAACTAATAAATCGTCTTTTTAGAAACAAAAAAGCCAGGAAAAGTCAAAGCTGCCACCGATGAGCTACAACTTCATCTTTGTTGTGCTATTAACTTCTGTGCTGGCAAAACCTGATGTCTTGGGGCTATAAGCCCAGCAGTCTCTGTACACTTTGGTGTGTGCTAGCCCAAATTATGAGTGATATTTTGCTGAAGGTGTGTCAGACGTCCCACCGTGTCCATTTTTAACCCAGCTGAGCTCTATGCATTTGCATCCTTCAGCTCCAGCAGTGAGGCTCAGCAAAGGAATGGGCCAGGATGGACATCAAGGTACTTGAAACTGGGGGAATGGAAGGGAAAAAAGAAGTGACCCCAGTGAATGGGGACTTCTGGAAGGCAGCAGAAACTTGGGGAACACGTGAACTTAATCCCCAGCAGAAGGCAATGCTGTCCTACCTTCTCTAATGAAATTGCAGGGTTCCGAGCTGCAGAGGATCAGTCACTTCCCAAGGGGATAATAAACTTCCCAAAGGATATAATAAAGCAGATCTGTGGAGGACTGCTCTGTCCCATGCTATTAGAAGTGATGCTCTGCAGACTGCTGCTGACCCAGAGAGATGCTCCAGTGTGACTGAACCACAGGAGCGAGCGTAGTCCTCATCCCTGCATCCCTTTTCCCACCAGCATGGGCACGGTGGCTGCAGCGTGCTGCTGATCCTGGCACCTCCAAGGCCCTCTCCCCATCCTCCTCATGTAATCAGTGTTTTACAAATCAGCAAATTGCACACCAATGCTTTGGGTTTATTCCTGCTCATCATCTTCCAGCATCGCTTGCTTATTATCTTAACTCCTCGGAGCCATTTCTCCTCCCACCCCCTGCTGCTCACTTTGTTCTTTATAGCTGCCACACTCGCAGTCGTAGCAAACCAGCTGTGCTGTGCTTTGCAGCAGCATGAAAGAGCCCCCACTTTAATCACTGCCTGCCCAGGAAAGGAAAATAGAGGCCAAGCTGTCATTCAAGTAATGCAATTGTACCACGGAAGGTCTTTTCATTTGCTGGTGGTTATTAAACAGGTTGGTGCTTTCAGCTGCTGCAGGAGGGGGTAGTGACACTGAGGGAAGTGTGGATTGTGAGTTCTGGTGCTTAAATATAGCTTGGACTCTGCAGTGTGTAGGGTTTCATTAGGAAGCTGGCAGCTTGGTTTAGTCATGGCCCAATAAAGAGAAACAACTCCTGCGTGTGGCTCGAGCATCGGGTGTAGGAAGTGTTTGGCTAAGGTGTAGATACACAGAATCCCAGCCTGGTTTTGGTTGAAGGGACCTTAAAGCCCTTCAGGCACTGGAGCTGCTCTAAGGTCTCCCCTTAAGGAGCCTTCTCTTAAGGTCCTCTCCATCTTTGCGCCACAATTTCATGTGCAATGCTAAAGCTGGCTCAGTTGAGTGGCAGTCGGGTTCCTGGCCTTGCTGGGCTCTCTGTGCCAGTGATTTGTAATTAATATGCTGGGAGCCCTGCTTGGGGGGAAGAAACAGCATCTTTATTGCAGGCACTTGGTATGCTGGCTGCATGCAGAGCAGACTGAAGCACCGCCATGGGCACATTAGCAGCACAGCTTGGTCCCTCGGAGGGTTTAGAGTGTTCTCCTGCAGCCTCAGGGTTTGGGTTTAGTGGCTTGTTATAGGAAACTTTCTGCCTTTAAAGCCTGGGGTGGTTTGTGGGGGTGGGAAGGGAATCCTCTGCGCATCCTGCAATGGAAAACCTCCCTCCAGCAGCAGCATCACCTCCTCAAATGGCCTCAACCCCCCAAAGTTTGGCTGCTGGGTGATGGTTTGAGCAGTCACTGCTGGTCCTGAGCACTAAACACCAGCTGAGTCATTTCTTCCAGTGGTTAATGATTGCCTGGGCCTGATGCTGCCAGAAACGATGTCATGTTAATGATTAAAACCCTTAAATAAGGGTTTATTCCTTCCCCATGTGCAAAGTCACCCTCTGACCTTCCCCAGCTCCTGCAGCATTGCCAGAGAGGGGAACATATTCAGGAACAAACCCATCCTGT